AATTACAGTGATGTAGCATTAAAACTTTTTATAAACTAGCTAAGTTACGTATATATCGATCCCTACTTGTCTTTGTAAAATTAAAAACAAATTTTATTATACTCTTTATATTAGGCTTGGGATGGTATTATTATCATCATCTTAGATATATTATGTAAAAAGTAAGATCTTAGATATGAAAAATTGAGTGTGTTTTAGATTAAAAATTTTCCGGCTCTAAAATCGTAACCTTGGAATAACTAGTTGATAAATTTATAAAAGATTCATATCGAACTGTACTCAACCAGAGGAGCAATGGTTTAGATATGGAAACAGGAATGGCAATAATAATAATTGTATTTGGGCTTGAAGTAACGTACTAGTATATAATTTTACATCAAATAAAAATTTAAGATAGTGAAGATGAAAAGCTAGACGAACATCTCAAATTATTAATTCTGGGGCTTACATTTATTTTTATATTGAAGCGTTACAGAAAAAGTAATTTTGTCTTTTTTTCTTAAATATGGTAGCACTGTGTTTTATATATTAGTATAAAAATAATACTAAGAAAACGATTGAAAACTAGAGGGAGACAAAGTGCTTTTTGGAGTATTGAAGTCTTTTTCGACCTCTCCAGCTAAAGCTAGGCCTGGCTCGTAAACTGGAGCCCAAGGGTGGTTTGTTTCCGGTTTGAAGGCATTCTTTTTCATCAGTGACAACCAAAACTAAAAACGTGTAATCAGTACCGAAACATGTGCTAAATCAGTAATTATTAAGATAATAAATTAACGTGATGGTAGCTATCTTATAAGCAATTGATTGCAAAATTAGCACTCTGAAAAATAACGTTTAATTTGTAATTCAGTACAGGATATGTAAATGATTCGATATACACCTTGCCACATTTGGGAAAGCTTGTTTTTTTTTTTGTTTGTTTGTTTTAGAGCAAAGTGTGTTTTATTACAAAGCCACAGTGGGCTATCTGCTGTATCCACCGCAGGGAATCGAACCCTGGATTTTAGCATTGTAAGTCTGTAGACTTACCGATATCTTACCGGGGAACTTTAGAGCAAACCCACATCGGGCTATCTGCTGTATCCATCATGGGAAATCGAACCACAAATGTTAGCATTGTAAATCCGTAACCTTACCGCTGTTCCACCGGGGGACTGCGTGAGCTAATGTGTATAATTGTATTATAATGCAATTTATTTTTGAAATTTCAATACATTTATATTACTTCTAGTACAAACAGCTGTATTACGGCAGAAATCTGTAATAACGAAATTAGCAGCTTAGGATGTTTATAATGTTTGCAGTTTATATCAAATAACTTATAAGTAGGTATTAATTGTTTTATTTATTTCTAATCCTGTACCTGGGCTATCCTTAATTTAGCAGATTATATATTTTTATTTATTTATTCAACATTGTACTAAAGTTTAAGCTAATATTATGATTTGAAGCTAAAGCTTGTGAACTTCAAATTTTATTATATTTATTCCGAAAACAAATAATAGAAAAAAAAATCTACCAAAATTTAATTATTGCAATTACACTATATACATGTTAGACTGGGTGTGGTTTTGTTGTTAACGTGCTCGGACGATAAATCCTAGAATTATTTGTTCGTATCCCGTTGCCACAAAAGCATTCTCCGTAGTTTGGAGCCGTTGATGCATTTAAACTAACTCTAAAGACCCACTATTTTGTCAGACAAGAGTTGGCAGCAGGTGCTTTTCACTAACAGCCTTCCATTTAGTGTATCGGTTCAGAATTAGTGACGGCTATGTACAGGTAGCCCTTATGTAGCTTTGAGCAAACTTCTAAAAAAAACAAGTAAACGGGTGTATCTTTCTCAAATATTATAGTTTAGTAACTACAGTAACCACGATGGAGTTTGAATACACGTTCATGTAAAAAAAAAATCAGCATCAACATAAAATTTAAACTACTTAAACAAATATATCCTTGATGAAACAATGCTTCTAGTGTTGAGATGTTTAACCTTATTTCAAGTTTTCATTTTCCAGGTTTTGACAAAGCTAAGAAGACGTAGTGGCTTGTATGAATGTGTAAATAAGACTGAATAAGTTATTTATATAGTTACCAATTAAGATAATCGTCAAATGTGAAAAGTATTCTGAAGAAATGCATTATGACTAAATGTTGTTCATTTTTGTTTTAGCGCAAATCAGCACAGTGAGCTTTCTGCACTGTGTCCGCTAATAATTGAAGGAATTATATTTCAGATTTTGCCTTGCATTAAAGACGTACTTAATTCTATTGCTTTAGAAAATTTCTGGTTTGGCATTATGTCTATGTGAAGTTGCTATTTTTATATTTTACATATATAAATTAAATAGGTAATCATTTTTTCACAGTATTTGTTTAGTTTACTTTCATTTTGTGTTGTCTTCTACTCACTAGTGTACGGGTCAAGTGTAGCCCATTGGTTAGTGTTGCCGTATTATGAATCCGAGAATTAATGGCTCGCATACCGTTGTCTCAAAAATCTTAGTTCTCACTTTGGAGATGTGAATGCGCTTTAAGAGTTAACGGGCAAATTTCACAATCCAATCAGACAAAAACAGCCCAAGAGCTGGTAATGGGTGCTCTTGTATAGCTGTGTTCACTCTATCAATTCAAAACTAGGGACAGTGATGTGTATCTTTACGGGTAAACATTAAAACAACGACAATGGCAGGTTCTACTCATTGTGTATCTACATGTACTTCTGTAAAATAGTTTACAAAAGTACAAATTAATTTTGCTCTGTGTTTGTACAAATACGCCGTCTCACGAGAAGCTTCGAAGTCATTAAAATTTGACAAATCTACTAAAAGAGCTTGCCACGACAGTTGATTTCAGACTTCATTGTAAAAGCCAACAGTCAATCAGATAGTTGGTTTCAGATTTCCCTGTAAGGGTAGAGAGCCAACAATCACTCAGATAGTTGATTGTAGATTTCCATGTAAATGTCGAGAGCCAACATTCAGTCAGACAGTCGGTTTCAGAATTTATTGTAAAAGTAGAGAGCCAACATTCAGTCAAATAGTAACTTCCCTGTGAAAGTAGAGAGCCAACATTCAGTCAAATAGTAACTTTTCTGTACAGGTAGATGGCCAACATTAAGTCAAATAGTAGCTTCCCTCTAAAAGTAGAGAGCCAACATTCAGTCAAATAGTGATTTCCTTGTATAGGTAGAGAGCCAACATTCAGTCAAATAGTGATTTCCTTGTATAGGTAGAGAGCCAACATTCAGCCAAATAGTTGGTTTCTGACTTCCCTGTAAAAGTAAAGAGCCAACATTCAGTAAGATACGAACCTGTAAGGCTCCTTCCAAAACCGGATTGTACTCACAAATATTTAATTCAGTAAATGATGTTTGGAAGGATCGGAATAACTGTCGTTCTTAACAAAACATAAAAATGTGTTATTTGTAATATTGGCTTATAAAGTAGTAAAATAGTGGTTGCTTTTGGAACGATTGGTAATGAATATATATATAGCAAACTTTACAGGTTTCAAACATAAGGCAGTTAATTTTCAGTTTCTAACTTTCATAGTAATGAACTATCAGTAATCTTAGTAAATTCAATTCGCTTTGTCGTTCTACTATACACCCATTATGCCTTCAATTGCGTGATTTGTTCAGGTTTCATTCTCAATACTACCTGCTTAATTTTCTTGTCTTTTAATCGAGCTATAATTTTTTGATTTTCGCTTCATAATTATTTCCATCAAATTCACCAACTTTAGTTTACAAAAACATAATCATTTCTTGCTTTAACATTTTATACACTAATTGTATCTTTGTTTATTTGTTATGCAGTTTCATTACCATATAAATTATATTGTTGCGTCATCGAGTCACATGACTACTGTGACGCAACGTTTCTAGAACTATCATGTACTTTGGCGAATGTTCTAGTTCTTACTAGATATAGGGTAGGCTGGTATATAAAAGAGGGGAATGTAATGTCTGGGGAG